GGTTGATGATGTCTTACTGAGTGAAGTTGGATTTGGTTATGTTTATTAACAGCTGCAGAGAGTAAAGAATTTTGTTTCGAGGAGCTGACCCACAAGTGATCGCTGAATGACTTTGACCCTTTTGGCCCCTAATGAATGAACTCACCTTAAATGATTCAGGACATAGTTGTCATATCACATATGTCACAAAGGTAATAACAGAGTGCAGACATCCAGGTGGGGCACAGAGCTGCTAGGTGTTTTTTGATCCATGAGGTTTTTTTTAATAGATTTTTTCACTCCATAGAGAAAGCCTATAATAGTAAATGTGTGTTTGATGAGGAAATGCCTTAAATTTCCTTTCCCCTGATTTATACCATCCCCCACCATCAATAAGTTGTGCAGAGACCACTTTTATGAACCATCAGGGCAACCGCGTGGTCTGAACCTGGGTGCACTCTTTGTAGACCTACTTAGATGAATCTGATGGTTCTTAAAGACAGTACATCATTCTTCCTCAGACTGTTCCAGTGGTTTCAGTGGGGTCTCGGCTACTGGAGAGGGAAGAGGCAGGCTGAGAAATGATAGAGGAGATCAGGTCTAGATGTCTCTGCTCCCCCTTCCCTGGGCTTGATTCTGATCTGAGGCCCCTCCTGTCAGTGTCTTTCCCCATGTTTATCCCTTGTTGTCATCCCTGCTGTCCCTGGGAGGAGGTTCCAGCTTTCTAAGTCCCGCGATCCTCTGCTGTCTCTGGGAGTGCCTGTTGTTGGGGCAGCTTTATTTTGTTCTCATCCTACAATGTGAAGAGTCATCTTCTGCTATGGCCGTTCTATTCCTGTGAGAGGTGAGGGTCAGAGACTTTGCAGAGTCATGTTTCTTTTTTCCCCCTTGCTGAGTGTAGACAAAAAAGGTTTAAGCCTGAGAAAGTGCTCCATCTGCAGAAATGTCTTTCAGTTTTGCCTGGTGGAAAAATCTTGAGAGCTTTTTAATCGTTGAGGACAGTCTGTGGGGGGAAACAGCCCGTGAAGCCTGGGTGAGACCGGGAAGAGCCGCGCTTCCCTCCCGGGCACGGGTGGGGATTTCACCCCCGTTCAGGCAGTGAAGGGCCCAGACCTGTGAGCGGAGTTGACAGTCGTGAATATTTACGTATATCCGCTGCTTCATCTTGGATATTAATTTCAAGCTGAGTCAGTTTGTGGCGGCAGCCTCATCCTACATCAGGAATTTATAGTATCTGCTCTTTGAGGTGAAGACCAGACAGACTTGGTTATTTAACAGTCTCTCTTGAATTGATATCTCAGATTCCTTTGTCAGAAGCAAAACAGCAGAAATACAGACGTCCTTTAATGCCGATGTGACCTGGAACGGGTTTAGTCTCTATGCTTCAGTGGCCTTATCTGTGGGTGGGGAAGATGAAAACAGTGCTTCCCTCAGAGGGTCTGGTGAGGGGGGAGTGAGAAGCACAAAGGGAGGACTTACACAAGATGCTCATGAATGACCGAATTTAGTGCTCTCAGCCTGGTGAGGCCTCAGCGGCAGAGATGTCAGAACAGAGCAGTCCTAGCCGGAGCTCGATCCGTGTTGGCAGCTTTTATGGTCACTATCAGCACTGTGGGTTGTCAGGTAGTTTTAAGAATTGGTAATATGAATTCATGAATAATGTTAGAAGACTAGACATCTCAGATCCAGTTTACATAGTTCTCAAGAATTCCTTTGAGAAATGGATGTTTTTTTCCCCATCTCAAATCTGAGTTGAGTCTCTAAAAAAATTCTGTATTCCTCCATCTTTTTGCTTTAATTCTCCATTTCTTAAAAAAAAAAGCTTTTAAATGGAGTATCTGGGGACTGAACTGAGGGCCTCATGCATGGTAAGCACATACTCTCCCAAATGAGGTATAATCGCCCTCCTGTTTTTTTAAAATTTTACTTTCTTCATATTCAGGTTAGAGGACTCTAATTCTTTTTCTGGAGACTTGTCCATAAACCTGTAAATCTATAATTAATGGACAAAACTTGATTTATTAAAAAAATCAATAGAATATTCTGCAATCCTTCCAAAAGGAAATGCTCGTTGACTTAAAATGTTTCTCCTTTATGGTGATTTCTACTTTTTGGTCTAGCTTAATTTATTAACAGCCATCCTCATCATAATGACCTAACTCGCTCTGAGTGGACACCTACATAAGGCTAAAATGCTTTCCTCATGTTTTAATTCATGGAAGGTGTCTGAGGGTAGGTATCAGTGTCTCCTTTTTTGCAGCTGAGGGATTGAGAGATGGAGCAGCTTGTCCCAAATCACACGCAGCTGGCGGTGGCTAGCTCCGTGCTGGAACCCAGGCTGCACAGGACGCATACTTTTGTGTGTGTGTGTGTTTCAGATATTTTTTATTTCTTCAAATTTGTTATTTACCAGGAGTGACTGAAATAAAAAATATAATTGGGTCCCATCATCATGGAAATGGCTTTAAGAGAAAACTGGTCCAGTGAATATTATTGCTTCCCATTTCGACCAGTAAGTAGTTGCCATTGATAAATAGACAGCCAACAGCCTGTCAAGAATGCTCAAGATATGTGATATAATACAACATGCCTGTTCACAGAGGGAGAAAAACTAGGAAATAACTTATGTGAACTTCTTGATCTCATCATACAAGACAAGCACAAAAGCACCACCCATGCCTCTGAGGACATTGGACCA